TGGAAGGCATGGAAACGGTTTCTCACGGTTTCCCTGCAATTTCTACTTATCCCTTAGGATGAAGAAAACATCTAAATGGAAAGCGTTTTCAGAACGAACTATACCTTAAAAAAATATCGCAACTTCATATTATATTATTACAATTATAATATATTATAATTATTATATATATATATTTTTTGAGTTCTTACCGGACAGCAGAAGGCGGCACGTGTAAACTGCAAAAGGTCGGCAGAAATGGGTGCACCGGCAGTAACCACAATACGTATGCGGCTTCCAAAACCTTTTCGTATCTTCGAGAACACCAACTGGTCCCAGATTGTATTGTGCTGATAAATACGCCTAGAACAACAGTAAGAAAACACACGGAAGAGTAAATTGAGACGGTAGGGCAAAAAAAGAATGTGGGAGACGCCCGAATAAAAATACAACAGGATAGATAGTAAAGAACGGACTTGACCACGGAGATTCATTGCGAAGACAACCAATGTGTTGTTAATTATGGAAGTGGAAGTTTATTGAACGACTTTTTTTCTACTTGACACTGTGGCTTGGTCAGCAAGAGAAGGACGAATAGACACGACAAGCTTCCTGTCTGATACGTGATACTTCGTCTTTGAGTACTTGTAATTTACAGGACATTAATCACACCTAGTCGTTTTTTTAACAATTTCTATTATGGGCGAGTATCCAACAGCTGCCCTCCGTTGCTTGCTTTATTTTGACTCCTCTATGAATTTGCCTGGGTGTAATTTAATCGCCAGGGCGTTAGCGGCAAGAAAGCTTACCTAATAACAATTCGCCATCGTATGTGATAGGGTAGTTGATGCACCAGATTTCACCCCCCTGCCCGCCGCTAATGCGTACATTGCACAGCTAGCCTTTGCTGGCTAGTAGTCCTCCGATAGTCCTGTGTGCAACTACCAGTTGAGAACCCGCTTATTTGGTAGGCACTTTGTCGGACACTGCCACACTTCGGAAAGACTACGCACCGAGCCAACGCAACCTGAAGGTTTGTAGTCTGGCTAGCCGACAGATACAAGATGTCTGTCACTCCCTCTGTTTTCCTCTACAGACACAGCCACTAGCGATAGCAGAGTCAGCTTTACAAATGAACTAATTTGCTAAGCAAATAAAAGAGGCGACAACACTGACCTGTCTACTTGTTTCAATTTCCGATTAATGGCCGTGTTGAGGAGACTCAGCTTAAACTTCGAGCCGGATACCTGACGGTAGACCTTCTGTTTGATGCGCGCCAAAACCCGCGGAACGGCAATGAAGAGGGTGGGCTGCAACATGAAGGCGTCCTGCTGCAACTGGGTTAGGTCACCAGCAAAGAAGCCGATGCGACCTCGACAGGAGAGGGCCAGTACCTGAGTGATAAAAGGAAAAGAGGAACCAATTATGTTGAGCAGGTTGGTTGGTTCTTCATACAGAGGGAGAGAGAAACATTTTTGCGGATTCCGAAGTGGCCTCACGACCTTACTGGGGAGAGTAGGGCCACTGGGAAATAACAAAATTTATGGATCTGGGAAAACCGACGATGGAGTTCCAGTGAAGTTATGTGGTATAATTTTAATGACGTTCAATTCTCTTGATACGTAAAAGAGTTAGGAAAATGGAAGGCCGGTTAAACCTCGTGGCGAGTTCCTTGCTTGCTTGTATACGTACACACACACATTGACACCGTTGATTACCCTCAAACATACTGGATATGGTTTCACAGCCTGTAGTCGGCCGCGGAGCCTGTGGAAAAAGCCCTTAAGCGACTCAAGCGAATGAGGGTGTAATGTATTAGGCACCTTCTAGAACAGGAGGATAGGTGCGACCCTCTCCTCTTCCTCCTAGCCCGTCCTCACGATTATTTCATTCCTCTTTCTCGCCTGACCGCGTAAAAACATACATACTGTTTAAGTGGCCATTTGTAGAGTTGGCTTTTTGTAGGTGGTTAGAAAGAAGCTCGCTTTAAGAGCTGACATTAAAAATCTTAAGATCAGTACTACAACCATGCATAATTGACTTGTTCAAATCTAAAACATCTCTCAGAGTTTCGTCGCACATATCATGCGATAAAAATGTGTCGTGAACCATTCTGACCTCCCAGCATAGGGAGAGAGAGACAGGGAGATGGGTGTAGCAGACCTTGGCCGCCGTAAGGGTGGGTGGGAACGCAACGGAGACGCGTCTGC